AGACCCCTGCTTCCTTGGATGCTTCTTACGACTCTTCAATGCCTACATCAACGGATCCTGCATGGGCTTTTGCCGCAGTCTGAGACTACCAGTCCAAGACTGGGAAACCAAAGACCGACTAGACCCTGTGTCAGAAGGCCTCGACTTCTTCGGACGCCTCCCGGGCCTGAACTTCCAACCACCACCGGCCGTTCCGGGGCCCGTGTCGCCTTCTGCAGTCCCGACCTTGCTGGAGGCACCCTTTACGGCATCGTCTGTGACCGTGTCACCCACGTCTGCGCCTTCTCGGACCCCTGAGGTCGAGGTTTGCATACGCCCTGCTCCGTCGACGGCGATTCTGGCTTCCTTTGCGCACCAAGAAGCATTCGACCCCGGCGTTTCACACGACGTGGGTTCCCAAGCTTCTGGTCGACAAGAGCTGCCGGGAAAAAACGAGCTCCACTTGGGTCCAGTTTCCGTGTGCCGGCTGGCACAGGATGACGAGAGCACATATGGTAAAAGGCGAGGAGACCGAGGAAGGTTCACAACGGCAGCCGTCGCAAGATTCGCTAACCCACCCCGACGAAAATCGACGACCGACGAATCGACAGCCGGCGGAGAGAGAGGAAACCGGCATTCTATTTTCCGAGGACTCAGCTATCAGAAAGCTCTGCCCGGTGACGACGCCTTGTGGTACGTTCAGAGTTTTTCTTTCAGTTGACGACCACAACGGCGTGTACATTATTCGTTCGGCTAAGGCCGATTTTTAAACCTATTAAGAGCCCGTTATGAGAGCGAGTAGAAGTTGTGGCGGAGGACGGTCTAGGTCGATTCACCTTCTTATGCTGGGCGGCTATGGCAGCGAAGTGATCTTGGGTACAGGCTCGGTCACACGCCCGTTTTACGACGTCCAGATGCGGCGTGGTGGTGGGACCCAGAGCGACTCTGCCGGTGGAGTTGTGAGTGGCGTTGATGTGAGCAGGGTGGCGGAAGGTGGCGTTGATGACAGTAAGACGCCTGAGCAGCTAGTTAGCGATACGATGCGGACCCACTTCCTGAAGCCAAACCCGGGAGTTGTGGTGCCTGTCCGACAAGAGGTGTTGGATGAGTGTATAGACGAAGTTGAAACGGCATTTTGGGACTACTGGGGTACTGTCAGACGCGACCGAAATGGGCCCGGTCCAGAGGCTCTGTCGGACTATGTCGCATTGAGGCATGGCCGACTGGCAGGAGTGTTGTACGACCGGCTGGATCGCACCAGAATGCTGGCGCTGCTAGAAGAGTGTGAGAAGCGGACTGGTCGACCAGCTGGAGTGACTAACCAATGGTTCTTGGCAATGCTTTTAGGGGCACGTCTGCGGCGGGGTTCATGTATTTCGTGGATGGAGAAGTTAAATGTCGTACCCGACGCCGCTGCATTCAGCAAGGTACGACTGTACGGCAACCAGGTAGGCCCCCACTTCGTTGGACTACCCGCCATGAGTGCGGAGGAGATCTATAAGCTGGACGTAATTTCAAGTCTCTTTAACTTATTCCTCAAGACAAAGCGAGGCCCAAAGATGTTCTTGAGTTTGGACAGGCGAGTCCGCGCAGCTTCGTTCGATGTGATTAACACATTTGGTATCGAACTTGCGGCATCCTTGCATCGCACGTTGGGTAAGGAGTGGTTTGGTCAGGTGGTTCGAGTGGCCAGGCAGCTTTTTGACCGTCCGGAATCGCGCTGGTTGTCGGACCCCTGCTTCCTTGGATGCTTCTTACGACTCTACAATGCCTACATCCACAGATCCTGCATGATGTTTTGCCGCGGTCAGGGACTACCAGTCGAAGACTGGCAAACCAGA